GGCTGGTGGTGTTTGATGGGGGTGCCCACCTCGGTGCTTTGGGGGTGATGGTACCAGGTCTCCCCAGGGCCCCTGAGCTGCACAGGGAGGCTGCAACTTTTGAGGGGTGTAACAGGCTTTTAACAAGGCTCTCGTTTGCTCCAGCCAGAACCCACAGGGGTGCAATGAAGGGGAGACGTGGGTGTGAGGTGCATCTTGCCCCACCGAGCAGGAGGGTCCCAGGGCTGCTGGCTTGGAGCTGATGCAGCAGCACGATCCTGCAGAACACGGAGCCTCTTTGCTGCTTTTTGGAGAAGCCACGATGATGCTTTGCAGGCTGGATCAGAGAGCAGCAAAACTACTGATAGAATTAAAAAAAAAGAAAGGGAAACCCGTGTCTGCCTTGGGGCATGGAAGGGAGCCCACGGGATCAGCGCACAGCTGGAGCAGTCCTGGAAGGTGCCTGTGGGTTAATGGGTTGGTATGAGAGCTGTGGTGGCTGCTCAGCCTGCTCTCCAAAAATAATTTTGACTGTTTCCTTTACTGAAAAACTATCAGAACCTAAATATGAACAATGTGAGGGGAAAATAATGAAATGAATATAGCATGGTGTTTGAAAGCTGTGGCAGATTTTAACTTCGTGTTTGCCCAGGTCTGAAGGGGCAGGGCTGCTCTCTGCTCCTGGAGCCTGGATCAGAGGTTGCCTCTCTCCAGCCGCGGTATTTACGGCTAACACCTGACCAGGCTTCTGCTAAATAAGCAAACAGCTTCAGGAAACCGAACTGCGCGGAAGTTCTGCCGCTGCCAACCGGCTCGGCTCTGTCCTGCCCATCGCGAGATGCGCGGCAGCCTGGTGATGAAGGATGCAGGATGTCGGCTGGTATTTTTAACCAGAAACCTCCACCCTCTATCTGATGCAACGTAAGAGCTGAAACGGGGAGAAAAGGCATTCGTGGTAAATAGGGTGTTTATCAACGCCTTGAAACGTTGAGTGTGGAGCTGGTGGAGCCATTTAAAAACAGGCATCGCCCAAACGACCCCAGGCAGACGCGTTTTGAAAACTTCACTTTATTTCTTCGTCTGTTATAAAAGCAGGGTTTGGTTTTGTTTTGTTTACATCTCTGTACGTGTCCAGACTCGGGTACATCTTGGGTTTGTTTTCACAGTATCTTTGCAAGACCAAGGCTGGTTCTTATTGCTGCACCGGGAGCCGGAGCGGGAGGGCTGGTGGTGCCAAGGATGGGGCAACCCTCACCTCGCCCCCCGGACCCGGCCTCACTCTCCGCTGTGCCGGCTTTACAGGTCGACCCCCTCCCCAAGGCTGCTTAATCCCTTTGCGGGCTCTCCGAGGGGCTGCCCCTCTCGTCACGCTTGTCTCGGTGTCAAGGGTAGGAAAGGAGAACCGAGTGGTCCGTGATGCTGCCGGGCGCGTCGGCCGTGCTCCGCGGCGTCTGCCAGCAGGCAGAGCGTCAGGTGAGGGTCTGGGCCAGGGCTCGCCCCACCAGTTCCTCCCCTGGACCTCGGCGGGATTTTGAGCGGAATGGTCAGGCTGCTTCCTCAGCTCCTGTGGTGTTTTGAGGCCATAAAGCATCGTCGATGGGAGAGGCGAGGCAGAGACAAGCTCTCGTACGTCAGCATCCCGTGGTGGTGCCCTGTCACCTTCCCAGCGTATCCTTTGTGCGTTCCTGGTTCTGCAAAAAGCTGCCAGAGAAGGAGCTTTTTGTCACCTCTGCTTATTTACCACTTTGCTCGGTACAGGGTGCCTCAGGTCCCCAGACATTTAAGTCCCCCTTGGGACCTGTTAATCCCTGTTCTAACCATATGGCTCTTAACCAGCCGTACCAGTAGCGATGTCTATAGCACCTGTAAGGTCCAGCCACCGTTCCTTTTGTAGTCAGTCTGTCCCCATCAGTTCTATAATGAAGCAGCATTTGAAAAACATCACTTTTAATCACAACACATGAGATCTCAAAAGAGGCAGCATCTTTTTTCTACGCCGTGTCTGGTGACGCGAATGGAGGTGGAGGGGCACGTTTCAACCTAGGCACGGGATAAAGGCATTCTTTGGGAAGGGAGAAGTCCATGCAAAGCCGACCCCAACGTGAAATCTGAATTTCGTATTTACTGCTTAGCTGGGTCTGTTCAGTGCAACAGGACGAATTAGCCAGGAGGTTACTACTGAATTGCATGGATGCATCCAGTCCACCAGGTAGAGGGAGTAGGAGGAACCAGCTTTACCTAATGCACTGGGAGACTAAGTCCAACACAAAGCTAGGTGGGAAAGGACGTAGGTGTTCCCTGAATGTGGTTTTTGGTGACTGAGAAGAAATCTTTCCTCGGAATTCCTTCGTGCAGCTAATTTAAGACAACAGGGTCTGATTTCTTCGACCCATGCCGACGTTGGTGAGAACTGTAAGTACTCAGCACCTGGAGACAAAGTGAATACCAGGCATAAATACCCCTTCTGCTCCCACCCATGGGACTGCCCAGAACCCCGTCTGAGCGGCAGCCGAGATGTGCGCAAGGGTTATCAGCTGTTCGCCCATTTTGTCCTCGTCCGCATGTATTGCCTAGGAGAAAACACAGACAAGTCCCAAAGGGCTGGGCCTGTAGAACTATAGTTAGGATCTGAATCAATGTAAGAAAATGGAGTTTAATACAGAGTGACTGTGAAAGTCAGTGTCTCCCTAGCTTCTTCACCCTTTATAGTCCCAAAGCCTAGATTTAGGCAACCTTTGGCTCGTGGATTTGGGGTTGATCCAGTTCTTTATTTTTTTTTGAAAGCTGCTTGTAACACTGGATTTCCTGCCTCACAGATCTGCCCATTGGAGAGAGCAGCTCCGTGGCTGAGCGGCTCTGAAAACCGGCGCGTGGAGCAGGGCGGGCTCCCCTGGAAGCGGGGATACGGTTGCAGGGACCCAGGATCCTTGTTTGCTGGTTTAAGACTGTCGTGGTGGGGGGAATATCTTCTGGGCGTGCTCTCCCCAGGCCGGTAGCTGATGTTGAACCTGCTGCTGAAGTAGATGGTATGGCTTTGGAGAGGTGAGGGAGGAGAATTTCTGGCTGGTAAGGTCCTGTGTGGAAGATGAAGATGGCAATAGCAGCTAAGTGGTGCCTCCCCGAGGGGAGAGCCTTCTGAGCAGCGTGTGTGTGGTTGTGAGACTTGTTCGGACCCGCTCAACAGGGCCAGGCTCGAGTCTGGCACGCTGAGCTCTCCTCCAGTCCTAGCTCTCGAGGCAGATGGTTAATAAGAGGAAGAAATGTTATCTAGGGGAAGGAGCTGCAGAGGGAAGGGGAAGCGATCTGCCTCAGGCCACGTGCTGGAGCGCGCCCCGCGCCCCATCCTCCAGATGCCACCTCTGCTGCAGAACTTCCTCCCATTCAAACGGCTCCTCCGTGCCGCCTTCCTCTGCAGAAGCGCATCTGGTTATCTCCGAAGCCATCTGGACAAAACCTACAGGTTCCACCTCCTGCTCCAAACACACCTGACTCGCTGCGGCTTCTGCACCCGAGACTCAGGTGTTGCCCTGCTTGCACCTTCTCGTGCATTACCCTTTGCTACATAGATGTTTGTGCCGTAAGCAGACAGGTACAGAATCACCCGTGGTCCTGTCTGTACCCATTCCTGGCAGCCGTGTAGACTATGAGGTCATTTGGAAGAAAATTATCTACTGACGTGATTTGTTATCATGGGAAGAAGAGTTTTTCGTAGCTTTTCCCTCTAGTGTTTGCTAGGAATGGGTGCCTGTTATTGTCAGACGTGGCTGTTCCTGAATTACGGATATTGCCAGGTAGACTCAGTAGATAAGATCTGCCCTCACGTACACGCATGCATCTCCGGTGTCTTCAGAAGGTTCCTTTTTATATCCTGCTCTTCTCACAGCACCGTCGGTTGGGTTTCATGGGAAAACAAACGAGGCGACAGCGCTTTGCCCAACACCTGCCGCCGGCTCTTATACCACGAGAAGGTGAGACCGTGGGCTAGCTCGGACAAACGTCCACGTGTCCTAAAGACAAGCCAGGGGGACGTTCCTCCTCCCTTGATTTACGCTGACTCCCAGGGCCACGATTCCAGCTGTGAGGTTCTCCCACTCTCCAGTGCCAACGGGAGACTGAGATCAGCCCGTGTGAGCCGTGCAAGCCAGCTTGCTGCCCCTTCTGCGAAGCAGGGAGATGGCCTAGTAGCTCCCACTCCAGAGACATCCTACAGCAGGTTTGTTATTTGCATTGCTTTGAAACTGAGATTATTTCCACGCTTCCTTGTTCCAGGTTTTAAAACCAGGAAGATTTTTCTTTTTATGACGCTCCTTCCAACGTCGTGTCCTTTTCATCCATCAGCTCGTGACACGCTGACAATCCTACTCCTTGTTCCAAAACTTTCCCCCAAAAAACTCTCTAGAAAGGACATTCTGCCTGGTGGTGTTTTTTTTGTTTTTGTTTTTTCAAACATAGCTTTAAGGCAAAAGTTTGGCAATGCAAAGCAAAGTCTACATAAGGCCGCATGACTTGGATTTGCAACTCAGAACCTTACAGCTTAAAAAAAATAAATCCTTATCTTAAATAGTCAACTTTTTGCTCCAGGAACTTGTTTCGTTCTCAACCAAAAAAAAAAAAGAAAAAAAAAAGAGACTCTTAAAATCCCAAATAAAATGTTCTTATTGTTCTGGGCAGTCTGGGCAAGCTAATGAGACTGAAGTTCAAACAGTAGCTAAAGTAGGGAAGAGAAAAAAAGAACAACGGGTAGACATCAGTGTTAGTTTCTTCCCTTAGGAATCCAGTGATGAGACAGACCCCAGTCAAAGGTCTCCTCTTTAGCTCTAGCACAGTGAAATCCGTCCCAATGGGAGAAGGTAGAATGGTTGCATTTGTTGAATGAATAAAAAGTGCATTTTGATTTTGCTCAGATTATACATGTGTATCCTAATACCTAAGTGATTGTTTTGCTTCGGGTTTTTTGTGGTGTGTTTGTTTGTTTGTTTGTTTGTTTCTCTCCCTTTTGGTGCCGGGACGCCAGGTTTGTATTATCGGTGTTTCGGAGGTATCACCACAAGGGGTGGTCCATCCTTTGGCCTCCACATGAGTACCTGAGCATCATTGGCATTGGGTTTGACAAGGGCACTGGGTGGTATTGGCTCATTCTTGCTAAGGACCTGGGGCTGCTCTTGAGCAGAGGGCTCCTGCAGCTTGGCACGCTGCCCCAAGGGTCTGCTGGGATTCACCTCGATGCCCAGCCTCATGCGCCACTTGATAGTCTGCAAGGTCACCATTTCGTTGGTGGCCGTGTTGGTTGCGACCAGCCAGGTGGTGAAGCTTTGATCCCGGTGAATGCTCGTGAGTTTGGCCACGTTGCTCTCGCTGACGGGCACCGCCCACGTCACGCTCGGGTAGAAGTTGTCGTTCATGCTGATGTTGAACTTGGTCTCCTTCTTTGTGGGACCCACGATGGTGCAGGTTTCTGTCGTGTTCCCGTACCAGGGATAGTTCACTCCATCCGAGTCACTGATGGCCTGGATTTTGCCATCCAGTAGATCTGGAAGCTCCCAACTTGACCTGCCATAATCAAGAACAAATTATGGATAATGTATTAATTAATTAGTTTAGAAACATGCTGAACTTTGAGGAAGGAAAGAAAGGACTCATGAATGCATTCCCCCTTTAGCTTTTACTGGGATTTGTGCCTTTTATGCTATCCTGCCAAAAGAACTCGTGTCTTAAACACCCCTGAGGAACCTGCAGGGCCAGGGCTTTCCTTCCGGGCACCGGTGGCTACCTGGAGTGTTTCAAAACACGTTGGTGTTTACATAAGGCTGCAAAGGTTAGGGGCTCAGGAAAGCTCCGGTGTTGGAGAAAACCCAGTGTCGCAGGGATCTTCTCATGCCTCCTTGGCTGAGCACAGCTGGGCACAAGGACTCCCTCCAGCACCGCGTTCAGGAGCTCGACTCCTGTGCCGGTGAGAGCAGGGCTTGGGGCTGACTTTCCTTCTGTTAGCAGCATGAAATCTCCCGTGTCACAGAACAATGAATGAGCTCAGAGTTTGGGGGTGAGGTGACAGAAGACCTAAGCACTGGAAGTAAGATCAAGGGCTCAAGTTCTGTTCTTTCTTTCAGGACTCTTTCTTTACAGTCCCTACCTGCAAACACTCGTTTTTCTCTCTGGATAAGCCACCTTCCCTCCCCGTGGTGTGCCTGGCGCTGGAAGTGTAACCCATCCTTCTCCAGTGCTGGGAAGGACCCAGTTCAGCGGCTGCAGAGCAGGCTCCGGGCTGGGGATGGTGTTACAGTCATCAGAGACACTGAGGTCAGCCAGCTTGTAAAACTGCCTGTGCCGGTCATGCTGTGCTTGTGAGACTGACAGAAAGGTCAGTCTTTTTAGCAAAAAAAGTCAAAATGGTCCTCTGTCACCTTGCAATGCTGATGGACAATTCAGCTTTTTATTTATTTTTTAAATTAACTTTCAGTGTAATGTTTAAGATTAGGTTTGCCAATAGAAGCAAACTACTGTAAACATCTCAAAATAAGGGCTGGATATTTGCAGGGTAAAGGCATTAAGCTGGCATAACCATGGACCATGTGCTCAGTGGTATTTTTAAGGACAATCTTTAAAAAAGCAGGTGGTAGTGGTGGCTCTAATGTACCTTCTCCCTCTTGCTTAGGAATCAGCCCTCCTCACCACCTAGAGACGATGTCCCTGCGGCCGAAGGGGCCGCGTTGCAGCAA